GCACGCAACGGAGCGAGCGCTAGAACAATGCCTCGGATTGTTATAATCAACCATTTCTTAGCGTCAACGCAAAGACGTTATCCTTAGAGAAGAAAATTGAATTCCACATTGAAAGGCGAGGCTCCACGATCGCAACTTTCGCAGCAACAGGTGACGCCGCAGCCACACTTGCCGCCTCGGTCCTCGGCTTCTACGCGACTTGAGGCAGCGGAGATGGACACGGACGGCGAGAGCGGTTCGGGGGAAGAGGCACACGGCCGGGACGAGCGGCGGTGTAACACGAAAAGTATTTCACTAGATCGTGCGAGACCCGAACTCCCCTGCGATGTGGCCGTTACCATAAACTACAGAAACACATAGATAATATAGAAAACAGCCTCGATGAGCGTTTTGCAAACCATGTGGCGCAGATGAATGACATGCTGAACAGTGTGACAACTAAGCTGTCTGAGCAAATGATTCAAATGTTCACCACGCACGTGGCGCGCATAGAAAACATAAAAGCCCGACTGCCACTAGTAGCTGGACCAGACCGATTAGAACGATGAACAAGCCGTATGATAGACAGCAACAAAGTCAACAATAGCAAAACACGCCGACAGACGCAGAGACGCAAATTCAGCCAAACCCAAGTCACCTCGAAGGCGACGGTTTAAATCAAATGTGATATCACGATGCCTAGACACGCACATAATCACACTAACACCAGCAAACAGCACTCTAAGATCTGGCAGTGGAACTGCCGGGGTTATACGAGGAAGCGGGGCGATCTCGAGCAATGCATTCGCGGCGGTGAAAGCGAACCAGATGTTATCGTTTTACAGGAGACAAACCATCCGGCAAAACTAGCTGGTTACAACGCCATAAACACGGCAGCGACGGACAGCACACAGAGAAAACAACGGATGACATCCTGCTCGGCACGTGGCGGGATCTCTTCATCGGTGCGCCCGCGGTCGCGGCCGTCGCCCTCACCACCTGCGGCGCCGGTCGTCGCCGTGCTTGTTAGACGTAACGTCACAGTGGCGCAGCGTGAACTTAGGTGCGCAAATATACCACACGTTTTCGTAGAATTAACTCCTAGGCGTGGGCAAGGTCTGATTGTCCTTGACGTACACAGTAAACCCACGTTGCAGTACCGATTTGGGGAGCTGCTCCAGAGGGCTAGCGCGGCCGCCAAAGGGGAACCTCTGCTAGTCACGGGTGATTTTAATGCGCCGCACGCGGCTTGGGGATACATGCGAGAAACGCCTATAAGTGGGGCGCAATCCGGAAGAAACGAGAGCCGATCACGAATATAGACGAATGGACTGTGACGCTCAATAGGGACGTAAATGCGGCAATGTGCGACAACCCACCCGAGACGAAGCTTGAAGTAATCGACAGCCGGCTGCTATACAATGTGGGAAGCAAAGCAAGCCCTACTTAAACAGTGAAAACGCCAAAGATACAACCGGGCATTGAGGAAACACACGGCACAAGTTAGGCAGACAGATCGAGGAACACGCGTTCAAAGTATGCATTGCACGGTGAGAAGACATGTGTAAGGGCTTGGAGAGGCAGATGCGTGGGGCGGGTGCTTGGCGTCTCTTTCGGCATCTGTTGGATCCGGAGGAAACTCGGGCCGCCCAAGGTCATAAAACTCGGGAGACTTGCGAGAGATTATGAAGACGCGAATATCCTCGCCGCAATACTAGACCGTTAAAGGGCGTTTACACTGGAGAGATACGACACCGATTTTGGTCTGTGGACAGTCTTTAGCAGTGTCTTATTTTGCCAACGGCCTATGTACACTGCAAATGCACAAACAGTCCGCCGGTGGTCTCTAGAAGACCCCGCGTGCGCATTGTCGTGCTCTCAGTCTTTCGTTGACCAATTCTGTAGTCACATTGAAAAGCACACGCAGCGATACTGACTCAACTTGCACACCTGCACCTCATTTTCAACAATAGACAGTTATGGTGTACGGTTAACGCGATTGCGGAGGTTAAGGAAATGGCGTTACTGTGCAGCAAACGTTCGTTGCGAACGGCGTCTTATAGTTTAGCGGGATAGCGTTTACGTGGTTTACGTGCCTTAGCTGGTACGGTGGCGCCACCTATCAGATGGTTAATAAGTTAAAGAGAGTGAAAAGGAAAATAAGACGAGAATGTTTGTCTATGGCACCGCGCCAAGCATTGTTACAAGTTCATTTTACTAATAACTAATAAAAGCAAATAAATATGAACCACGCACAAAAAAATTGCGTTGCCGATTTGTTTACATCGATCTTGTAGTTAGGCTTGGGCAAGTTCGAAATTCTAAGCTATCTCAAAAACTACGCCAACTTATCCGTAATACATGGTCGTCGAAGCTAGCTGAAGACAAGCGAAGCCACTTTAAACAGTCGTTTTCTGCGAACAAGGTGAATCTTTCAAGAACTACGCCAAAATCACTTCGAAGCGGGCATCCGGAAGCGCCGCCATGTTGACGTTACACTACGTACACCTACGTTACCACGGTAACGTTAAATCTGAAAAATAGACAGTTATAGTATAACGAGGCTTACCGGGCGTACCGTGATACCGGAATCGAAGTGCGTACGCACAGATACGTACGTTACTCGTACCGCTCATCGTACGCGCGGTATTTTTCAGATGCCGTGATTTAGCTTACTCCAAACCACGGTGCAAAATACTTTAGGTGAGCGAACGCTTGGCGGGGAGGGACCGATTATGTTCTTGTTTGTGGCATGCCGACAGATTACTCGCCCGACTGAGGACCGTGGCGGGCTGCTGGCAAATTCCGCAAAGCCTATCCCGCACTTGGGCGACGGTTTCCTATCTGAGAAAACCGGGTGTTATCACGCGGTATCTACTACGGGACACGCATAGAGCGGCACCGCGAAAGAGGGGTATGTATAAGGGAGGAGGTTGCCCGCGTGGTGAGGGTGTTGTGGCGACGATAAATGAGCGCCGCTGCTTTCTTATGTCAAGGCGCTCCCCCCCCCCCCCCCACACACACACACACAGAGAGAGAGAGGGGGGCACAGTTTCTAGCGGCATCGCTCAGGCTTTTTGTGACGCAGAACATTATCGGGAAGCGGATATTCCCGGAGCTCGCTCACCTACAGTACTCTTGCACCGTGCTCCAAACTCACTTCTACCCTAGCCCGGCCGGTCTACGCCACCTCTATCCGAACCCCACCGATATGTGTAAAGCGTGCGGACGCCGGACACAGGGCAACGCTGAGCCGCATGCTCTCAGAATGTGCCGGCGACAACAGCCCTGAAAACACCGCCAATCGCGATACGCCTTAAGTGACCGTCAATGCCAAATCACAGAAAGCCTCAAGCTCACTGGTTCCTGCCGCCGGCCCGGCTGCGGGGGACCTTCTTCGTTAGCGTCACCACCGCTCGGAGGCGGCCCTCCAAAGCTCAGAGCTGAACGACCAGCTCTGGGCCGTCCGGCATACCGAGGATGCCGCCCGAGTCCAGGGCCTATGAACCGCCACCTGAATCCACCGAGACCAAAATGCCGGCCCATTGTGTTCAACAGTCTTTTCTCTCTTTCGTGTTTCGTTCGCGTCTGAATTACTCTGTGCGCGCACTTGTGTGTGTGGTCGAGTGCGCGCGTGTGTGCGCGGTCATTTGAGCGTGAGTGTGTGCGAATGTGCGTGCATGTGCGCTCGCTCGCACGTGTGTGTTCTTTTGTGCATGCGAATGGGTGCGCTCTTTCGCGAGTAAAGTGGCCGAATGTGTACGCGTGTTCTTGTGTCACTGCGTTTTGCCACGCGTGAAAAAAAAAAACCGCCTTCGGCGTGTACCTCAAACGCCAAGCGCCGTCTGTGTCTGTATGCAAATTAACGCTGGTTGCGCTCAGCCATCACTTTCCACAGAGTTACGAGACGCGCGCCAAACCAGACTGCTTCGCGTAGGAGCACATTCGCAGAAAGCTCCACCCCCGTAGCTTTCCCTTCATTGCACGAAAATGTCTGAGAGTAAAGCAGGCAAGCTTGTGCATTGAAGGTCTCAGTACCTCAAGGTATCTCTGCCAACATCCACGATGCAGCTCGGCTATCCTTCGGATAACTTCCCTCTTCTGGAAGTGTTCAACAAAAAATGTTTTGATAAATCAATCGGGTGAGTTCACTCTCCTGTGTACTTTCTATTCATGAGCTGCACAGGATGGCACCACAATTTTTTCGAAAACTGGTTCACGGATGTGTTGTTCGCTTCGGTCACTAACATCACGACAGCAGCTGGGGCACGAAGAAAAAAAATAATTCTATTTGGTTTATTTGAGGCAGTTGGGGGGCAAGGAAAGATAAGGTGTACAGCTAACCAGCTGTTTCTATAAAGCTACATCTTCCAAGCACCGCAAACCATCCCGTATAGACAAAAAAAAAAGGGGGGGGGGGTAGTAGGCGCGCGCCGTCATGCGGCGAACCGAGCAGCCACGGCCCCATTTGCAATTAGTGCCGTTTCACGCGCTTCTCGCACAGCCGCAACGCACTTGACCGCAGGCAAGCGGAGCACAAATAAGCCGATTAGCGACGCTCTTTCACCCCCCCCCCCCCATAGCGTCGCCAATTGGCTTATTTGTGCCCCGCTTGCGTGCGGTAGGGGTGCCGGCACGTGCGTTGCGGCTGTGCGAGAAGCGCGTGGAACGGCCCTTCGCCTCCTCCGTCCGAACGAGACGGGCGGAGAAACACCGCCACGCGCGCCCGATCCAGGCGCCTCCGCCGCTTCCCACAGAAATATGCTCCTTCGCCTGGGCAATGAAAAAATAGAGGAGCCGGAGGCCCGGCACAGTAAGACGATTTATTGTTTTTGAATTGTCGCTTCCTGTTTACGCTTGCGTGCAATAAGCTCATCTTTGGCCAAGTCTTTTCCGATATGGTCGCAGTCGGCCGACCCGCACTGCTGCGAACAATACTCGTGCGCGCGTATCGTGACACACATGGCAAAGAATGATTCGGAGGTGCTCCATCCGGCTAAATAGCAAGACCCCTAACTTACCGTATGTGCAAAAGAAAACAGCCTGTCCTGCAGATTATCCAGCCGACTCGCGCCGTACCTACTTCGAACCTGCAAGTGTAATGTAGATTCACAATATGAGCCGCAATGAGGCTGCGAATAGCGCAAAGGCGCTATGCAAGCGAGTATCGCAGCAAGTTTGCTCGTAGTCAGTAAGACGTCCCCCGCTACGCCGCTGATTGCCAAAGAGAGGGAAGAACACTCAACCCTTTTTCTATCCGGTTCCCTCTTGGCTATGTGCCTCAATCACTTCTCACATACAGGGATTTGTGCTGGGGCCGGGAAGTAAGAGACGCTACGACCTGTTTCTGTTTACTGATTCATTAAATTTAATACTAACTGCAAACATCGTATACCCGCGTACATCAACCACTACACAAAATTATCACACAAGATTTACACACTCGCGACGTGCGACGCAGGATACATAAGGGAAATAACTTTGACAATACAATGGTGCGACGATACAAAGTAAACACAGGCCGAAACAAATGATAAAGTCAATAATTAATAAAACCGCGCAATGTCTCAATATGCCGCATCCCTTCCCGCAAAGCTCGTTTAAGTAAAGGAGGTGAAGTTCGTCTCACGAATGGTCCATGTGGTCAGTCTTCACCGTCTTCGTTCTCTCTCTCGGCGATTTCCATCTTAATCTTCTTTCATAACGCCCCGCAATCACTCGTTTCCTCGTTTCCCATCTCCAACTTTCATTCCTCGTCATATCATCTCTGCCTCAGTCAACATCCCATCGATTCTCATCGCTATCTCTCCACACCTTTATCTTCCTTTTCCATTCCGTCTCTACCATCTCGTGCTCGTCGCATCGTATTTCCGACTCTCTTCGCATCGTATCTCTGACCCCTTCGCATCGTCTCGTAGTCCCTTTTTGTAGAACCCGACTCCGCTCTACCGGGGCACCAAACCAGTCACCACTCCAAGCGGCATATTTTCTTCTCAGTCGGAGTGTATCAACTTCGGCGGCCGCCCGCCCCGCGGCCTACACCAGTAGAAAACCCTCTCCCAAACAAAGCCGAGCAAGTAACGATGTACAAACTCAAGCCTCAGGGAGAGTGATGGGCGAGCCGTCCGAAGGCACTTTAATTACGGGCGAACAATGGTCCCGATGCTTTCGGTACTTGGCGAGCTGATGTCCAGACCAAGTCTCAACGTTTCCACGCAGCTCGGTGTCTCCCGCGAAATTCTCCGTAGCCGTCGCTTCTTCGTCATTCACTGCCGGGGGTGGCCATCCGCACAGAACGCAGTAATGAGTCCTGGAGCCACGGAGGCTGACAGAAGTCAGACCGGTCGCGGCACTGGCGCTGCGGCAAAGGTCGCATTCCCCGAATCAACAAAAGGTGCTCTGCTGCTCCCCCATGCCACAAATCTGAAGGGTGCGCGCCGATTATCTCCACTGTACGCTGTGGCACGGTCTGTAGACGACAAGGCGCCGCCCGGTCCTTATGTTTGGGCGGGGGAGCCCGTAAGAATAGTATAAATAATCCTACTGGTACTTCACTTAGGAATGCCCATTCGTTACACAGAAGGTTTTCTTTTCCTTTTTTTTATGCGTGGGTTTGAGAAACGAGCGTACACATCTTGAAAGGAGCGGGGTTCAGTCCGTGTTAGCGGGGACGTCACATCAGCACAAAAATTTCACTTTCCCAGATCGTCTATCACATGGCAGGGGCGGTGCCACCTGGCGCGCCTGAAATCGGCTCGCCTCCTCCTCGCCGACACCCGTTGCGCATGCGCGAGCCGCCGTAGCGTGCCCCCAATTGCGAGGAGGAGTCATCTACTCTTCCCTACTTCCGGCTTCACAAAAAATGTGGCTTCTTCGCCACATATATCCCATACCCCGTATTTTTTGTCAACCAATCATCTGAGCGCCAATGAATGCACTGCACAGACAACCCGACTCACTTAAAAATGCTCATTACTCGACTATACGTTCAAAACGACGCTGGACGACTTGCACACAGCACTAGCATGTATTTGTTTTGTACATTTGTAGCATTCATCTTCTCGCCGTGCAAGCGGCACAGGTAAAACAAGCATGTTAGGCTCCTTTCTCCGGGTACTCTTTTAGGAAAGCTATGCGAGGTCAAGCTGTTTCGTATATCCTGTGCAAACCGCGTGCACTACGCAAATGTACCATGCGTCACTTTTCATTTTCGCTTCAGGGCCAATTCTTGATGCATACTACTTTCACGCGAAGCTCACTCACGCGCGATCTGTTGGTTCTTGCTAATTGCGTCATTTTCGGCGTATGATGCGCTCTAGATAATATGAGCCGAAGGTATACACGTAGTACCATGTTTTAAATGCGAAGCAGCTCTTCGACTAGCCTGTGTAATTCAGTCCCTCCGCATCGGGGCGGTGCCAAGTAGGCCACGCCTTCCCCCCGAAAACTCACCCTCCGAGCGGCCCCGCACAGTAAGGCGGCCAACACAGAGTCAGGTTCCCCATTTCTCACATATCACGAAGTCGCACAACATTGCATACGCCAACGTCAGCAATACCAACTCCCACCGGACTCCTTCTGCGCGAGGAGGCTGTCGCACTTCGCCAACTGCAGACGCGAACTTTTCCGAACCTCCACTTTATGAATAAAATATACCCGACTCGTTATACTGATGCCTGTCCAGGCTGTGGCCCACAACTTTTCACGTCACCGTAGAGTGCTCCGCCGCCTACTTCCCTCCCCTCCCTCCAATACTTCGGTCCACCCTACCCAGAGCAGTGGGAAGGCACCCTTCGCGACGGCGCCCCCGAGGTATGCCGGGCCCTCATTGTCAGGGCCTGGGCTGCCGCAAAAGCTATACCATAGGAGTCCTGGAATAGGGACCCTACCTGTTTTCTTTGAATTCTCATGCCTTCATCTTCTTCCCTCGCAGTGCGCGCGCGTGACGGCGTCACTCTCTCCCCAGCCTGTCGACGCGTGTCATCTCTCTCGCTTCACCCTCTCCAGCACTCGCAACGCTCGAGCCCACTCCTCGCGTGGGCATCATCTCACCCGCGCCCCCTCTCTTCGTCTGTCGAGAGTGTGGAAGCTTGGGCTAGTTGGTGGGTAGTCATATATGCAATAATTTTTAGTCATATTTTCTATCTACCTTGTCCCTTTTGTTTCATATGTTCGCGCGCTGGGAAAAACTTGCAAATATGTCGGCGAAGCCGCGCTGCGCGCGCCGTCGTTTAGCCCGGCCGTAGTACCGCGGTGCCGGCTATAGACAGCTATAGTTTACCGTTAGCGTGATAGCGGAGGTAAAGAGAATGGCGTTACCCCGCAGCAAACGTTCGTTGTGAACAGCGCCTTATAGTTTAGCGGGATAGCGTTTACGTGGTTCGTGCCCCAGCTGGGACGGTGGCGCCACCTATTGGATGGTTAAGTTGAAGAACAGTGAAAAGAAATAGAAAACGAGAATGTTTGCTTATGCCACTACGCGAGCACTGTTAGAAGTCTATTTTAGTAATAATAAAAGTGAATAAATATGAACCACGCACCAAACGCGAAAACATTCATGTTGCTGATTTGTTTACACCGATCTTGTAGTTAGGCCTAGACGCATTCGAAATGGGAAGCTATCTCAAAAAACTACGCCAACTTATTCGTAATGCTCGGTCATAGAAGCTAAATGACGGCAAGCAAAGTCACTTTGAACAGTCGTTTGCTGCGAACAAGGTGAACCTTTTGACTACGCCAGAATTACTTTGAAGCGGGCATCCGAGAGCGCCACCATGTTTACGTACACTAAGTACACCTACGCTACCACGGTAACGTGAAATCTGAAAAAATACCGCGCGTACGGGAAGCGGTACGGGTGACGTACGTATCTGCGCATGCGCACTTCGATTCCGCTATCACGGTACACCCGGTATACTATAACTCTCTAATGTGGACAGCACGCCGCTGCTTGCCGCGCAATCACGCCGCCGGGGCACGCTTCCCGCTAGTGTGCGCGTACATTCACCGGCCGTAGCCGGCGTTGCGAGTTAGCGAGGCCGATCTCGTTCGCGAATGATTCGATTGATATGTCGGGGTTTAACGTCCGAAAACTACCATAAGATTATGAGAGAAGCCGCGGCGGGGGGCTCCGGAAATTTCGACCCCGTTCGCGAATGGCGACGACGCGCTTGGAACACCGACGAGGCGCGAGCCAGGTAAGCCTAACGGAAGCGTCGGCAGTGGAAGACCAACGACACCGACAAGGCGCGAGTCAGCAACGCCGATCGCGTCCGAGAATAGAGACGGCACGCGGGTAACACCTACGAGACGCGAGCCGAGTAAGCCAAGCGCGTCCCTCCTTTCGTGCCTTTGAGTTTGCAACAAACATATACTCCAGTAAACGCTACACCGAGTTTCGCTTCAAACCGTTCTTCCAGCATCTGCGTCGACACCCGTTTCAACTGGGTCACCGCCGAGCACACCGCTGCTGCTTGACATTCCATCAGGGTTGCCTTCGGAGAGATGGTTTCCGACCCTGTCGTTCATACGGAAAACAGTAAACTTTTATTAGACTACGTCACGTATGTAATTTGCGGTGTCTTCGAAATGAGGTTGAGGATTTATTGTGCATTGTTTCGATCCAAGGGCGAAGGAATTAATGCTACTGTGACAAATTATAATTTCACCTGAAGAAAAGCAAGCAGCTCGAAATTTGTAAGCGCGAAGCTTAGGGAGAAAGCACGCGAGAAATGACTATACAGGCGACAAGTGCCTGCTAACTGTCACCGCTGGACAAAGCACGCTTCCAAAACAGAATGATGAAGAACGAAATGAATGCACAAGTATACACTGTCACAAATCTTTATCGTACGCGAGCAGCGCCCTCATTCCGTAAACGCGGCCACAAGCAAAATGATTTTCGTCTTCCAAATCACGAGATAAGCACCGGCGCTCAAGAGACCACGCCCGCTTCGAAATGCGAGGGGCGACTCTTTAAAGAGGCCCTGAAATACTTTTTCAAGAAACCATTAAATGAATTTTCTAATAGAGCTTATTGCCTCACGAATTCAACGCCACAAAAATTTGAAGAATCCGTCCAGAACGAGCG